CACTCATTTTGACCCAAAATATCGACGCAATCTTTCTTTAAAATGCCAAATCTGTCCCAAATTCCAGTTTAATTGTGCTCTAGGGACCCTCAGGCATCTTCCCAGCAAGTTTCAAGCAATTTCATTTTTCGGCCAAAATTGAAAAAAAATGTAAGGGGTTAGCCTTACTTTTTGATCAAATTTGGCCAAAAAATGACTTTTCTCCAAACAACTCAGAAATGTCTTTGGATGCAAGAGGAACATCAATCCACCTTCAAACACTTAAAATATTGATGATTTGAGCAAAAATTACTGATTTATTGACACCAAAATTAATAATTTTCACTCATTTTGACCCAAAATATCGACGCAATCTTTCTTTAAAATGCCAAATCTGTCCCAAATTCCAGTTCAATTGTGCTCTAGGGACCCTCAGGCATCTTCCCAGCAAGTTTCAAGCAATTTCATTTTTCGGCCAAAATTGAAAAAAAATGTAAGGGGTTAGCCTTACTTTTTGATCAAATTTGGCCAAAAATTGACTTTTCTCCAAACAACTCAGAAATGTCTTTGGATGCAAGAGGAACATCAATCCGCCTTCAAATACTTAAAATATTGATGATTTGGGCAAAAATTACCGATATATTGACACCAAAATTAATAATTTTCACTCATTTTGACCCAAATTATCGACGCAATCTTTTTTTTTTAATACAAATCTGTTCCAAATTCCAGTTCAATTGTGCTCTAGGGACCCTCAGGCATCTTCCCAGCAAGTTTCAATCAATTTCATTTTTCGGCCAAAATTGAAAAAAATTGTAAGGGGTAAGCCTTACTTTTTGATCAAATTTGGCCAAAAATTGACTTTTCTCCAAACAACTCAGAATTGTCTTTGGCTGCAAGAGGAAGATCAATCCACCTTCAAACACTTAAAATATTGATGATTTGGGCAAAAATTACCGATTTATTGACACCAAAATTAATAATTTTCACTCATTTTGACCCAAATTATCGACTCAATCTTTCTTTAAAATGCCAAATCTGTCCCAAATTCCAGTTCAATTGTGCTCTAGGGACCCTCAGGTATCTTCCCAGCAAGTTTTAAGCAATTTCATTTTTCGGCCAAAATTGAAAAAAATTGTAAGGGGTTAGCCTTACTTTTTGATCAAATTTGGCCAAAAAATGACTTTTCTCCAAACAACTCAGAAATGTCTTTGGATGCAAGAGGAACATCAATCCACCTTCAAACACTTAAAATATTGATGATTTGGACAAAAATTACCGATTTATTGACACCAAAATTAATAATTTTCACTCATTTTGACCCAAATTATCGACGCAATCTTTTTTTTTAATCCGAATCTGTCCCAAATTCCAGCTTAATTGTGCTCTAGGGACCCTCAGGCATCTTCCCAGCAAGTTTCAAGCAATTTCATTTTTCAGCCAAAATTGAAAAAATTGTAAGGGGTTAGCCTTACTTTTTGATCAAATTTGGCCAAAAAATGACTTTTCTCCAAACAACTCAGGAATGTCTTTGGATGCAAGACGAAAATCAACCCACCTTCAAACACTTAAAATATTGATGATTTGGGCAAAAATTACCGATTTATTGACACCAAAATTAATAATTTTCACTCATTTTGACCCAAATTATCGACACAATCTTTCCTTAAAATGCCAAATCTGTCCCAAATTCCAGTTTAATTGTGCTCTAGGGACCCTCAGGCATCTTCCCAGCAAGTTTCAAGCAATTTCATTTTTCGGCCAAATTTGAAAAAATTGTAAGGGGTTAGCCTTACTTTTTGATCAAATTTGGCCAAAAATTGACTTTTCTCCAAACAACTCAGAAATGTCTTTGGATGCAAGAGGAAGATCAATCCACCTTCAAACACTTAAAATATTGATGATTTGGGCAAAAATTACCGATTTATTGACACCAAAATTAATAATTTTCACTCATTTTGACCCAAATTATCGACGCAATCTTTCCTTAAAATGCCGAATCTGTCCCAAATTCCAGTTTAATTGTGCTCTAGGGACCCCCAGGCATCTTCCCAGCAAGTTTCAAGCAAATTCATTTTTCGGCCAAAATTGAAAAAAATTGTAAGGGGTTAGCCTTACTTTTTGATCAAATTTGGCCAAAAATTGACTTTTCTCCAAACAACTCAGAAATGTCTTTGGATGCAAGAGGAACATCAATCCACCTTCAAACACTTAAAATATTGATGATTTGGGAAAAATTACCGATTTATTGACACCAAAATTAATAATTTTCACTCATTTTGACCCAAATTATCGACACAATCTTTCCTTAAAATGCCAAATCTGTCCCAAATTCCAGTTCAATTGTGCTCTAGGGACCCTCAGGCATCTTCCTAGCAAGTTTCAAGCAATTTCATTGTAATGTTAAACCCCTTCCATTTTGTTTTCCAATTTGGCTGAAAAATGAAGTTTCTTAAAACTTGCTGGGAAGATGGCTCAGGGTCCCTAGAACACGTTTCCACACAACAAAAAAGGAAAGAACTCACACCTTCAAACAATTTTGAATTTCATAAGAGCAAATACAAACTTTATCATCTGCAGACATACAAGGTAGTCCCTCAACAAAATCACTTTTGCCTTGTAGTTGTATTATTGCAGAGAACAAATGTATACATTTCAGAGAATATTAAAAGCAAAAGAGAAGTATCCTCTCGGAGTAAAATAAAATTGCATGAGAAGAAAATGTAGAAATGTTAGACTGGTGAAAATGTTCACAAAGCAAGCACTGATGTAGAACCATGTCATGACATTTATATTATTTGAAACGGTGTGAAGTACCAGCACACAAACCTCCATTTTATTAAAGAGTCTGACTGGGCAATTGCTCTACATGCTCTGTTGCATGTCTGTATTTATCTATATGGTTTTATGATTTCAGTGTCAATTAACCCTTACCCTACTAGACTCTCCAACGCATGCCAATATGTGCCTCAAGAAAATCTCCTATGTTTTTTGCATGGCCCTCCAATATCTGCCATGTCATTTCAAGGGTAACTGGACAGGCACTCCAATACATGCCACAGAGAACAATGAGAGTCCTCTGATAACAAAGTGAGTGCCCCCAGCTGGTCAGTATCAGGCACCCTCCAGGGCCTCCAACTCCTGCCAATTGGAGCCTTCACTGCTACATCAAAGTATCCTCCAATAAACTGCAGCTGGAGGGCATTGGCATAACCAACTGACATGCAGTAAACTACCCTCAGAGAGTAAGGGTTAATGTTTAAACTGACAAGACATCACAATTCAATTGACAATTTCTACGACCTCAAGTCAGGCATTTGGTTTGGTAGCAATCACTGACTTTCTACTAACTGTATTGGCTGACAATGCCCATGAATGGAAGCAATGTCTGCCACATATCGAGTCACCAATGACAGACGGGCAGTAAGAATGCTTTTTAAAGAGTAGCTTGTATTGCATTTCTTCTTCAGAGATAAGCCGGCAAAAGTAAGAAGTATTTTTTTTACCAGCTTTTTGAGATTTAGACAATCCATTTCCATGGACTGGTCAACACGCAAAAAATAATTAATTATTAGGGAAATTATTGTTTAACTAAAACCTCAAATGTAGAACATGACTTTTTTGGGGAAGCGAGATGGCAGATCAGTTGCTTCAAACATTAGCTTACAATCCTTTTAATACTAAAGTTGACAGGGATTTAAAACAAATCCACAGGTATACTGATAAGTGATTGAATGCACGAACTCTGCTAAGTAGGAACGCTGTACAAATACACTTCAAGTATTTACACATACCTTTATACACTTTACACAAAGCTCGTTAAATAGTCTCAATATTTTGTACATTATAAATTTATAATTTTTTTTTATAAGAAAACGATCTCTTTTTGTTTCAACTTCACAAAAAATTTACATGCATTCAAAGGAAGCAAGTTTGGGGGCGGTTTATTAAAATGCAAAAATTGAAGACAATAAATTGCAAGCGTTCACTTTCGTTTTCATTGTTTGTTCCGAAAAGTTGTGATCAATTCCTTCCATTTTAGCAGAAAAGCACTAAAACAATCTTGCATATTGTGTCTTTTTGATTGAAAAGGGTAGACAAAAATTCAAATTCTCGTAGCTGTACGGTCTCTCAGGACTTGAAAGAGTCAATACTGATTATTCCATATTTCCCACACTTATTTCATTTTCTGGCTCAAAACACTACATTTGGCATAAAAAATGATTGTAGAGAAATATGAACAGATTTTTTCTCTTTACAAACAGAGAAACAATTCAGCAAATTTTCAGTAACTGTGCTTATGGCATCCTAGCAGCTAAAATTGCGTTAAATTTTGGAGTTCTTCACATGACTTCTAGACAAAACCTTTAACGATAACTAGCTAGTATACAAAAATTACCAATGAAAGATTTCCAAAAATGACAGGTTGGAGTTGAACTCACATCGTCGTGATGCCAGGTTTGGTGGACGCCCTAATTTGGTCCGATGAGAAGTACTTGATGAGAAGTACTTGAAACCAATTAGTCTACCACCAGCAAGCAGCTAAGTTAGTCTCAAACTTAGGTTCCAGAATTATTCCTCAAATTGCCAGAGCGGGTTGAACTCATTTCTCACAATCACGAATAACTTTAGACCTCTACCAGTGTTAACCTAATTGGTGCACAGATTATTTGCATTAGGTGCACCCCCAAAACGTTTCTTAGATGATCTTAGTGACCGCCCTGCTCACCAAAGGGTTAAACAAGAGACCATACTGACTTTCTCTTCCAGGCAAGCACATTTTCTGCTGTCAAGTTCCATAAAATTGGAACTTTCAGTATGTTTAGTGCCAAAATTGAAGGAAAAATGCCCAGTTGTGGATTTCGCAACATTCAGAGGGGTCACGATTTGAAGAGGGCCATCCACATTAAAATATGTCATGGCCATATTTTACAAAAAAACTCACAGCGTATCGCGCAAACTTTTATAAAAAGCTGTAACTATGGATGCATCTGAATCACATACTAGATTTTGTTTTAATGCCAATATCGATATAAATATCAATTTCAATATAAAAGAAGTGAAAAGTTATTTTAAAAAACAAAATGGCTTTCAATTGCTACTGAAATGAATGAAGAGCCTTGATTTCTGGATGGATCACTTGAGAACCAGATCAGGCTGAGTAGCCAAGTTATTCATGTGAGTTACTCTGGACTCTACCTTGTCACCCAGACGATTGTAGCGTTTCTGCAGGAATACTTCCAACTCCGCCTCACGCTTCTCTCTGTACATCAAATGGAAAAGCAAAACAGTCACGTTGATTTTTCAGCTCTGGCAGGAGCTTCTACACGTCATTTCATGGTCAGTCGGTAGGTTTCTCCCCGGAAAACTGACCAAAACAGGCCCCCTACATGTAAGTTTGCCATTTAATTAAGACTTTATTTTCAACGTCTTTTTCACCATATACCACCAAGATCTTGTAGTTCAGGAATATCTTAAAACATATCTTAACATGTCTTCCCAATTTTGAGAAATCTGCGTCTGAAGAACTGTAAACTATTTTGGACCACTCTATATATTTTTCCTACATGTGGACTTACAATTGTTTTTTAAATTCAATTTTTTTTGTGTAAAAGAGTACATTTACACTTTGATCCAAAGTATAAACCCACAGATGTTCAAAATACTACTTAAAACCAAGAAGTCAACCAAATGTCATGAAAAGCGACCAAAGGAAGTTACAACATAACATTTGGTGATCAAAATGGGGATTAAAGTGCATGGAACTCTCGACACCCAGTAATAGAAACGCAATGCAATGGTACATACCGTGGCACAGGCCCCGTACTGCTGACTGGGTTATTGTGAGCTGGAAGCTTGCTACCATATGGAAACTCATCACTGTAACATCAAGCCATAAGACAAATTCAACATTTCTCGACATTATTTTACTTATCTCATGGACTTGAGCAAACATAGAAAAGTGGGCCTATGATCTGTAAGACTTATGTTTCAATCATAGAGCTGTATTCAATTACTAGAACGCTGACTCATGTACAAAGTGATACCTGCTGGGCGCATCCATGTTAGTGTACAAACCTATGGAAAACTCACAATTTTGTACGGTTCTTTACCAGTTTTGGCTGGTAACCTGCTTTTATGAGCCAGTCTGTTTTTGTGCTAAGCAAATTTTTTGTGCTTAGCAGCGCCGTGAAATTGGCCCCTTACCTGTCTTTCCGGTCCGGTGCTTGTGTGTGTTGCACCAATGGGAATTCTGCATTGACCATGCCCGGAGCCAGACTAACTGCCTCAGGTTTCTCCTCAGCATCAGCCTCATCATCACTGAAAGAAAACCATGTCAACAATCAATCAATATGGATGATCTGATACACCGTGCCCTCTGGAGACGCGCACACAATAGTATGCATAGTATCTGCATTCATTCAGAAAGCACATACCAAAAACAATTGTTCCTAGAACATTGAATCACAATGAAAGATACCTAGCACAATTGTGTTTTAAACTGTAAAGCCCTGTTCATGTTTTCCTTGAACAATCGCATTGGGAATGCATGAAGTAAAGCACTTACGATTGATCTATAACATTGGGTTTGTCCTCAACTGGAAGTCCATCTAATAAGGAAGGGACGTCGCCTGGAAGAAGGTCTGTGCTAAAAGGATCCGTCCTGCCAGAAAATCACATCAAAAACATTATCCATGAATCTTTTAAATAATACTGCAACAGGTCCGTATTATACAAATAATTTCTCATGATTGAGTTCAGAGATCAAGCTGGCATCATTCATGTTAGCTACAGATGCAGCGGAGTCCACTGACAGTACTGAAGTTAAAATTCACGACAACTGGAATTTCTGAAGACATCAGTGGCACTCCTGACTAGGGCTATCCATTTTTGAATACTTAAGTATTCGTTTACTCGAATCTGTGTTTGACCAAATATTCGGATATTTGAAACCGCCAGTTGCAACTGTGTGCCGCGCTGGTCACAAGTTTCACACAGAGGGCGGCAGTTAAAATTGGAGCGCGGCGAAGCATATGGACCTGGAGTGTTTTGCAGTTAGTATTTTATAACCGTCAAAGGATAAGAACAATGAACGGCCGTCGACAAAACAGTTACAGTCGACAAAAAAGTGGCACGTGACAATAAAGCGTTACAACTTTACGGCAAAAAAATTATTCGAATATTCGGTTGATGATCGAATATTTGAATATTCGGTGGATGATCGAATATTTGAATATTCGGTTGATGATCGAATATTTGAATATTCGGTTGATGAACGAATATTGAATATTCTGTTGAACGAATATTTGAATATTCGGTTGATGATCGAATATTTGACTATTCGGTTGATGATCGAATATTTGAATATTCGGTTGATGATCGAATATTTGAATATTCGGTTGATGAACGAATATTTGAATATTTGGTTGATGAACGAATATTTGAATATTCGGATACTCGGGACAACCCTAATCCTGACAGAAGGCGTGAAGTCACGACTGCAGAATAGTGTTTATGTATTATAATTACGAGCTTCACTGCAGAAAACAATGCCATACAATTTCTTGGTTGAGATTTCTGTTAAAAAACTGAATAGGCAAATTGTTGAGCTTACCATCTGGGCACCCATACGTTGGTCAGTGTGGGTGTATTGGACAGGGACACCAGACCTTGGGATGGGAACTTCTTCCACTGCATTGTGCTGCGTATCACATCCTGTAAGGCACAAAAACGGCAAGAAATTTGTGAAATAATGTGGGGGAAAAATTTGGTCCAGAAGTGACGTAATGCATCACAAAGTCCATAGACGATCCGTCACTTCATGGCGCACCCGAAGATTTGAAAGAAGACAAATGAAATAATTAATGAAACATTGGAATATTAAGGAGTACATGAAACAATTTGGGGGCCGGGAAATAACCTGAGCAAATTCAGTCGAAAAGAAAACTCATGCAATCAATCAGGACCCAATCAACTTAATTCAATTAGTGCAACTATTAGGTTGAATCATCATGTCCAAGACTCGCACACCAGTACTCTGATGTTTTAAACTATCATTTGCTGTACAATGTGAATGTGTTAAGTCTATCCAGAAAATATACTCAGTAGGAGTCTAGTACACTGACAACACATAGTGCACAAGGAATCTTCTTATTTGCTGACCGACAACATGTAGCCAGAGTTTTTGTCTCCGCATGAGGATGTATTTTTTCTGGTCTTCAAAGGGATGGAATGCTGACGTTTTTTCAAAACATGATAAAGCCGGAATTCCAGCTACAGCCTGAAAACTAGCATCCCTGAGTCTTGGAGCAAAGACTAAGGTGCCTACCTCTCTGTCCAGGAACTTCTTGAGCGTAGTGCCGTGTTTATTGCTGGGATCCTTGTGGGTATATCTTGGCAGAGGGCAGAGATGGAAGTCAGCATCTACTTCAGCGTAGGGAAGAGGGGGCATGAAGACCTGCAGGCCAGGGGCTGGGTTCTAAATGAAAGATTCAAGGATAAAGTTCTATAAATGAGGATTTGTTTTCACATGAAAGGTCTATGCTGTGAAATTCAGTTGCCAATGCTGCAATGAAAACAAACAGTTGCCTTGCAGCAGATCTGACGTTCCTGTTAATATTCTTTCATTTTAAAATTTGGAACTTACAAATATGTGCAGAGGGGGGTAGTCAATAGGCCTGAACAGCGCCGATGGAGGCGTTAGCTCCACTGGTCCAGTCTCTCTCAATGCCAGCTCTATGGTCTCTTCTGGAGACACCCCTACATCGGAAATGGCCTGTTCCTTTGTCCATGCAGGCTCAGGGGCTGGAACATTGATTATCTCATCCTAGAGGGGTGAGGGTGGATTTGAGGGATAGATGCGATCAATTTACACAAATGCACAATATAAATACAACTCAACTTTAAAAGTGAATGCTATTTTACAGAACACATTCAGACTGCCCAGAATTTGAGTTTTGAACTGAAAGGAACCAATGATTTATGGTTTATGGATTGGCTTTTTGAGGTCAGTGAGTTTTGTAACTCATCGCTTCACCGGTTATTGTCATCGTGGCCAGCTGTTAGCTGGGTCACTGTAATTCGGCCTTTTAGATCATCATCCCTCAAGCCATTACTGTTCTTCCTTGCATAGGTTGGTGAATGCAGCTACATAAAGCAACTGGCGCAGATGCTAAAGATTGTGTGTCGGTAGACTAAATAGCTTGGTAATGTCATCTCAACAGAGAGTACTTCCTCAACGTAAGTCCTCAAAATTCGCCAGATTGGACAGAAGTCAAATTGTTAAAAGTTCTCAATGAAAAAAATTATTCACACCTTTCTGAAAACTTTTTTGTCACTTGTTTGGCAGTGAGACAGTCTGAATTCAAAACCAAATTTACATCATTTAAAGCAGTCATTTTCTATATAAAAGGGAAAAAACTTTCACTTAAAAAATCGTTAAGGGTGATTGCTTATTTTTTACCTCTGCACCGGTTCTCAGTGGTCTGATGAGCCTTGGTGGTACATAGCCACTGGATGCATCCTGGATGTTATGTGGGACGTAGCTCATGAGTCTGTATTGCTGTGGTACCTGCGGGAGTAACAAAAACACACATCAATGCTGACTTGACTCCTTAAAAGTGAAACGAAGTAACTAAAAGGTCTCTCTTCCCAATCAGAATGGGTAAAATCATAATAAAGTTCAGAAGTGTTTCACTAGAACAACCAGTGCCTTAAACAGTTACATGGTGTTTGAAATAGGGTAGCCGACAACTTCATGTCAAATTAGTCGAAAACTTTCTTCAAAGGTCTTTTTGTCTTTTTTCTAATTTACAATTTAATAGCTAAGAGAGAAAATTTAAAATCCTGAATCAACTTGCAAGTATTTACTGCGTGATTCTTCATGTACATGTATTAATTATGTAGTTTTAACCAAAATTAGAAACTACCTAACTGCTGAACAACTTTGAATAAATAATCTGCACATGTGCAACTGGGAATTGACAACACTGCATGAGATTTACATTACAAAAAGAAGTCGAAATAACCTAGAAATAATGTAGAAATACATGCCTCACGTTACAACAGTAGGTAACATAAAAACCACTGCAGTTGGTCATGTGCTTGGGATTGAAAGTTTCCCTGTTCATATGTTCACCGTCAAACTACTCTAAATGCGTCTGACAGCATGAAGGTCAGCGAGTGTGTAACATTTCTCATTGTGATCTCAATTCATACAGATCACTGTAACTTGGATTTATTCATCATCCCTTCAGCTGTCAGCTGTCAGTCGTAAGGGACGTTCAGAGTGATTTCAACGCTTTACCTTCAGATTGAAGAAAGGCACTTTTCTCTTGACAAACACTTCAGAGGACTTTGCAGGTACAATGCCCAGAGCATCAGGGGCCTGTTAGACAAAAAAGTTGACACAAAAAACTTCAACAGTGGGCATCATTAAAATGCTAGTGAGAATTGTAAAACCGTGGATTTTCTTTTATTGCTAATCTAAATTTAGTGGGAAAACAATATTTAAAAACAACTTGTCTTCTGACTTGACTTGACTTTTTTTTTTCTTGGGTCAGGAGCCCAGAATAGGGTAAGTAAGAAATGAGAAGGGATGCCCTAATAGCAAGCAAGACCGAGACTATACCATGTCATCCTTGAAGTCCGGCGCTGTGTAGGTAGGGAAGGCGTATGGTTGCACCTTCTCAGCATCAATGACTAAAGGGATATCCTTGATCTGGCTGTCCTGATCTTCACCATATGTGGCTGGTGGATGAGAAGACAACAGTTTCACTCATTTAAGAACCTCAAGTTTCTTAAATACATTAAACTTAAAACTTTTGACACAGTGTAAAACAGAGGAAATTTACAGACTTAAAGACCGAAAATTTCACTTCAGAAAGATGTTCCTAATCTCATTGTGCATGACTTATTGTGACCTGTGGTGCTGTATAACTGACTTGTGATGACCTGTGGTGATTTGTAATTGACTTGTGATGACCTGCGGTGACTTGTGACCGACTAGTAATAACCTGCAGTGACTTGTGACTGACTAATAATGACCTTTAGTGACTTGTGACGCCATCTGTAGTAACTTGTAACTGATATCTTATGAACTGTGATTTGTATTGGACTCGGGATGGACTTACAATGACCTGGGGTGATCTGCAAGTGACTAATAATGACCTGCGATGACCTGTAACTGACTTACGATGACCTGGGGTGATCTGCAAGTGACTAATAATGACCTGCGGTGACCTGTAACTGACTTACGATGACCTGGGGTGATCTGTAAGTGACTAATAATGACCTGTGGTGACCTGTAACTGACTTACGATGACCTGGGGTGATCTGTTAGTGACTAATAATGACCTGTGGTGACCTGTAACTGACTTACGATGACCTGGGGTGATCTGTAAGTGACTAATAATGACCTGTGGTGACCTGTAACTGACTTACGATGACCTGGGGTGATCTGTAAGTGACTAATAATGACCTGTGCTGACCTGTGACTGACTTACGATGACCTGGGGTGATCTGTAAGTGACTAATAATGACCTGTGCTGACCTGTGACTGACTTACGACCTGTGCTGACTTGTGATTGACTTATGACAACCGGTGGTGCCTTGTGACCAACTTACTGACATCTCTGCACATTTGCCAATAATGTTCGTCTCCGTACCTGATTGTTCCCTGCCAGCCCTGCCCGTCCTGTAATCCTCAATCAGTTTGCGGATCATCTTCCTCTTGCCTTCCACCCTCAGCTGGATAATGACCCTCATGGCAGCCTGCTGGAAGTGGCCCAAGGCTCGGTGCTTCATGGCCCAGGGGTCATTGGTGTAGGGGTCAAACATGGCTACCGGAGGGGGGATAGACTCTACCGTCCGGTGGGTGCGTCGCTGGGTGCAGGTGGTGCAGGACCGGTTGAACTCAATGTCTGGTAATGGGTCTCCTCTTTGGAACTGGAAAGGTTAATACCATCAATAAGAATGTGACTACTTCAAAATGTTGCGTCAAAAAAGGTTTTCTTAATCAATACTAGGACTTCAGATTATTTTTGGCTCAAAACGAAATGCAGTGCTCAACATGGAGGCGTTAGCTCCACTGGCCTGGTCTCTCTCAATGTTAACTCAATGGTCTCTTCTGAAGACACCCCCACATCCGAAATGGCCTGTTCCTTTGTCCATGCAGGCTCAGGGGCTGGAACATTGATTATCAATTCTACAGGGGTGAGCATGGATTTGAGGGACAGACGGAATAAATTTAAACACATGCACAACAACACACAAAAAATAAAGTTATGCCAGTGATTTAAACAAAAAATAATAAAAAATTGAAGTGCATGCTATTTTGAACTGAACGGAACCAATGATTTATGGTATATGGATTGGCTTTTGAGGTCAGTGAGTTTTTGTAACTCATCGCTTCACCGGTTATTGTCATCGTGGCCAGCTGTTAGCTGGGTCACTGTAATTCGGCCTTTTAGATCATCATCCCTCAAGCCTTTACTGTTATACTTTAAATAGGTTTTAAAAAAAAGAGAAGCCTGCACAGCGAGAAAAAGGATGAATACTTCAAACGTTTGTGACATTATGTGGGCTCTGGACCACATTGGAACTGTTTGCATAATCTGCCTGACAAATGTATTGATAAGAAGCTAAGAGAAGACTTACATGGTACTCCTTGACTGCTTCTTTTCTGCTCTGTAGGATCTCCTCTCTGGCTGTGGCAGTGATTTGATCTCTGCCCAGGTGAACTTGCCTGTAAACGAGGAATAAGAGGAAATAAGTTTCATCAGTTAAGATTTACAGGTGAAGATAAAATGTAATATACTACAAGCGCTAATCTCTCAACCTTGGACATATGCCAAGGTCAACCAGAAGGCGGGCCTGAGCAAAATTGGCCCCTTGATCCCCCACCACCCCAGATTCGCCTAGAGGCTGCAGGTGAGGGAGAGAGGATTGGTTTCAGAGTGACAGTGGGATATGAACTGATTACAGATTGAAATAACTTACCATCTGAGCTGATTTCTCCTCTCTGAAAGGACATCTTGCTTCACTTCATGATCAAATAGTGCTTCCTGTACATAAACACAACAAGTATTTCAACATTTAACTTGTGAACAACACGACCCTAACATTAACCCTAACACTGCCAAACACAACACAATGCATCGGGTGTAAAAGTCTGTGGGACCTTGCTGCATTGAGCCATCAACACCAGTGCATAAACGGCCAAGTCTGAGACAATGAGAGCTAGTCCCATTGAACAATACCACCGTCGTATCGTGCTGCATTGGCGACCACAGACTCTGAGGCAGTTTGGCCTTGAGACTTTTGACCTGATGAATCTTGCTACACTGGGCAGGCTTGTCATTTTGACAAGTATTGCATCTTGCTGCGTTTTGTGTGGTTTTCTGCGTTTTGTGGTTACCTTTTAGCCAAAATACCATAAGGAGTAGAATTAATAAGTTGTAGACAAATATCTTGTGCAGTTTAACAGCAATTCTTGTATCACAATCGGTAATGCTTTAGCTGTTGTCCACGCTTGTGAAGAGACAGTTATAGCAACTGCAGGTCCGATTTACTTTTTCGACAACACTGTGCACTATTTTAGGAAGGAATCTGTGGCTTTGAAAAAAATGCAAACATCTCACCTTTAACTGTCTGGTGTTAGGAACTGCATCTTGTTTTGCTAGAACAGCTGGAAAAGCAAGAGAAAAAGTAGAAGTCAAATACCAACAAATACTATACATACCACATAAGCTAGGCACCCCACTGCACCCAAGGGTTGTAGGAGATTCATGTGAAGTACAGTTGTGATTGCAGTGTAATATAGTATTAGATTACATTGATTACATCAATTTAGGTCACAGACATTACTCATGGCTGTGTGGTATGTGTTAAGCCCAGTTCATACTTCGTACGAATGCGAAAGCGAAACGAATTTGAAGTTATAAAACATTTGCTGCGAAATTCGCCCAAGTTGAAATATGTTCAACTTTTACGAATTTGCAGCGCAAATACTACTCATAACATCACAAATTCGCGTTTGCTTTTGCTTTCGCGCCGAGTATGAACCAGCCTAATGATCATTCCAGTCATCAACAACAATGTGAACATTCTATGTACGAGAACTTTGCCAAGATCAACCATATACTATGAAGAAGAAATGGTGTACGAAAAAAATGTGTATGTATGTGTGTTCACGAGTTGCTCGACCCCGAAGCAGGCAACAGGCGGCAAAGACGCCTCTCTCTCTCTGCCTAGCGGTCGAGGCGAAGGCTCGTTATCTATATTCAGTGGACAGTATTTATACTTGCTCAGTGACAGTTAGTGATTCAGTCAGTTAGAGGAAAAGAATCTAGCCCTTCTGGTCCAGCAACAATTATTAAGCCTAACCCATCTTACCTTCCCTGAGCTCCTTAGCCCTCAGCTTGCCAGCCTGCTGCATCAGGACCGTGTTCACTGAATGCTGAGTGTCTAGGTTGCTTGGGAAGCGTACCCCATCCCTCTCAATCTCCTTGGAGGTAGCCAGAGCATCACGGGAGCTGGTCCGGTTCCTGCTCTTGGTGCGTTTCTTCCTGCGCGCCATGGCCACGGGGGAGATGGAATGGGGGTCTAGGAGGGAGTCACTGGGCCTGGAGGCGTGGCCGTTGCAACGAGCGGCCATCTCAGCTCTACAAAATTAGAATGTGATAAATAACATTTGAGAAGAACTCACCTTGAATTGGATTTTACAAATAATACATGTAGATTATTCATAGTTGGTAACCAATGGCAGAATGGTATTCTTACTTTTCTTTTCAAATTGAGGATTACTTGAATAAATCTTCTGGAGGAAAACAGTGGAATCGCAAAGTCAAAACAAACTTTTCTTTTTGAAGCAACCAATATAGTTCATGCACTCGATTGTTTAACAAGTCATTAAAACATTAGTTTAGCTTAGTTACTAGTGGAGGGAAATGTTTTTGACTTACTCAGCTAGTCCTGGAGCTGAGGACCCCGACACCAAGCACACTAAAGGTTTGGAATTGAACTGTGACGTCACCAGCTGGAGTTTCATCAGCGCCGTACTGAACTCTGTCGGGGCAAAGGTCACGGTGATGTTGACCTCACTGTTGCCGGGGACGATGCCGCTCATCGGCTCAACGGTGAAGGCTGGGTGGGGTTGGAGGAAAGTCAGCTGGAACTCAAAGTCCACGGGAGCGTCGCAGCGCAGAGGTATCACTCTTGTACGGCTGGTGAAATTATAAAAAATGTGTTACTCCACTGAATAGGAATTTGTTGTTTTAACTACTTCACGTCGGATGACTTATATACACACAAAGTTTCCGCGGTATTCGAAATGGATGAAGGATAAACACGAAACGAGTGAGGCCAGAAATATCTGTTTGCGACCTGCTTACAGCAAGCTAGGCTGGAAATATCAGGGTGTGCTATTCATATATTGCTATTTCATATTTAACTCCAAATAGTTTGTGTTTACCTCTCTGAGATGGAGACTGGAGGGAACTTGATGACTTCAGGGAACTCAGCGGTGCTCATAGCAGGATATGCATGCACAGGTACCAGCAAGTTCTCCTCATCCTGTTAAGAAATAGCACCAATAATAAATGTGCAAGCTATTGACAACAATTCTAGAGACAACTACAAACTGTTCATAATGAATGCCAGTACGACTTCCTTCTGTGCTTGTGATCACAAAATAAGACAAAACCACAAGTGACTCTGGGTAAGAAATGATCCTGATGGAGTCGAGAAGTTAGATTGTCCAAATTCCATTCACATTTGCAAACATTCAAAATTATCCTTTCATGAACAGCACAATCTCCGGTTCCTGAATGGAGGCCACATTGAACATCCACTTGCCTCTCTCCACCCAGGAGTATAAATGGGTACCGACATTAGCTGGGCAGTAACCAGCGATGGACCGGCATCCAATCCAGGGGGAATAGACATATCCTCGGTTTGTTTTATGCCAAGGAAACCGGAGATAAACTCTGGCCTGATAAACTTTATTGGCTCGCAACTTACTTACTGAACACTACCGGGCTGTCGAGAGGATTGATGACAGAGAATTGGTGGTTTCACTTTTCACTTGAGTACTCCATGCGAAAACACCATGTGGAAGACTTTCTTTTGAGAAGACGTGTGGTTCTAAAAACAACCAACCGATGCTTTTCAGAACTACACATTTTCCAAAAGAGAGATTCTTCCACATGGTGTTACCGCAAAGCCTAGTTTCTAGCACTGACAATACCCAACTATGACCTACCTGGCAATGGATCCTGATGCAGTCGTAGTAGTAACGCCACTCATCTGGTCTGAACTCCACCTCTACCTCCACTGCCATGCCGGGTACCAGCCGATCCCGCTTGGCGTACCAGGCCTTGAAGTAGCGCGTCGACGGAGGAATGATGTGCATGTTCTGACACTCAGATGAGATGTTGATTAAACGCTGTGGTTGTAATACAAAAACAAAGAAATGACACGTTTGACCAGCTATCAGTTCAAATCACTGCATCCAACTGTTTTGGACAATAAGGATGTAATGATTACACGTTTGAACATTTAAACAAAAAAAAATAACTTTGTTTACCAGTTTTGCGAAACGTTTGCACCAATCACGCTTTTTAAAAAAGTGACATTTGGTTTACTCAATGTTGCACATTTGATAAAGAATCAAGGATGCCTTTAAAACCCATTTAATTTAACAAGAATTAACTTCAAAGCTGACTTTTACAAATGTTGCTATCTGGCAGGGTTAGGGTCATTTATACAATGCCTAAATAGATCCCCGTCATCTGATTGGTTGGTCATTGATCACTTGTCATTGAATTATTCATATCAACACAGGGCGCGGCCAGGCGGCAAAAATAGAAGTTCCATTCTGCGGTAAATGGAAGTTCCATTGCGTGGTCACACTATTGGCGGCTCTGACTAATCAGATGATGAGGATTTATTCAGGTGTATAAAACAAATAATGAGTGTCTCACATTCATGCAATGGAAAGAATAATTTCATTCGGTGAAAGACAGCATGTTCCATTCCACTCGGCTTTGCCTCGTGGAATGGAACACTCCCTCCGTCACCTCATGAAATTATTCTTACCACTGCACTAACAAATATTCACTATTTGTATAAAATATTTTGACGCGAAGATCAGCTTCAGTCGAGTATTAACTCACCAGTATCTGCTTATGCACTTTGCCAGGCTCAAATCCTGTGAAGTGGACTGCCGACGGCTCTGCCTGAACAACAGAGTTGTGGGACACCTTGTGGAACATTTCTACAAAGCAAACAAATTACAGGAACGGGATTTATAACATTCAACTTTCTAAACTGTTTTCTCTTTAATGCTCCAGTGTCACTGAACCGTTTCTTTGAGACAATTACATTTCATAACATATTAAATGCGTTTCCCACAGGAAAAATAATGTTATCTCGAAAAGGCCTACCTCTATTATTTGAATAAACATTCCAGTCAAATTTGATACGTGGTTAAAGTACCATTTGTAAACATTGGATGATTATTCGTGGCTAGGGTTATTAGGGCTATTTTGACATTTGTATAATTCAGGTTAAAAAAAATTTAAAATTAAGTTATAGAATCATTCATTGATCATTCTTTCTACTTCAAAAATCAGTTTGCTGTTGGGTTTTTTTTGGCAAACCAAATGCGGTATTTCACATGACGTCACAGGCCAGTGGTCATCCACATGCCTGCCAACCCAGACTGGGACCGTGAGTGCATAAAAACGTGCAAAATTACTACTGACGTTTTTTTACTCACCATTAGGCTAATTAATGCCCACACGACACATACATCAAAATGATAAAGTTGCAAGCATGTCATCTGCGAAATTTGAGACCTTAAATCCAATTTTAAAGCAAGGTTTTGGCAGTTCAAAAACCATCCACGTCATTCTCCATGCTCTGGAAATATGTGCTTGATTCCCAAGGTATTCTGGGTAGGTGTAGGAAGAGCCTTGCAGCTTACTTGTTTTTTAATCAATGGCCAAATGAACATAGCGCCCTCTGCTAAAAAATGAAACATTTTTGCATTCACTCAGATCAACAAGAGGGCGCTGTTTTATCTACACGATGAAAATGTTATAGCTGAGGAGTCTTTTTGCACAATGCATTGCACTACACATCAACGTGATGTCTCACGTATGGATTTCGATAACTCTCTGCAAAATTAGAATTAAAAGCTGAATTTTTGGTGATGCAATGCTCACAACAGCAACTTTGCTAGGCAGAAGTTTCGGGGATTATTGAAGAAACTGTAGTGAGTAAGAAGTTTGCAAATTTGATTCACACTGGTTTTATCATGCAGCACAAACTTTTGCACGATATGGATACCTTAAGTTTTGGGACTCTCATACACAGTATTGAGAGTCCCAAATTTTCGGACTACTGCCAACCCAACATATTGGAAGTCTACGGTTGCAGACTAGCAAATAAACTGCCATATAGACCACAGTAATAAAATACAAGCATATTAAGAAAAGCTTATCTCCAATTGAACGTACGCGTGTCCAGCAGATGGTTGGGCACCGGTCTGGCCTTCTGGGGTGCTACCAGGGAGTCCATCTCCGGCATGACGATGCCGTTAGTGCGCATCCCTGGCAGGTGATTATTGCCAGCCATGGTTGAAGGGTTAGCTTGGCTCAAGGGTGTCGCCAATGCCATGGTTGCATCTTCAAATCCTTGCTGGAAGCTGGAGATAATATATCTGGCTACTACTTGGAAGATGGGATCGTTGGCACCCCAAATGGTTCTGTTGAAAAAAGTACAAATTTCAATTGTAAAACTTGAGAGTTGACACATCTTCATGAAGGGAATTAACCCTAACCCCCTTGGCCCTCTGGCTAGGATGCAACCTCAATCCTGCAAAATCCTCCAACTGCCACCAAGAAAAAATTGGATTCAGCCTCAATCCTCAAAATCATCCGTTATTTCTTGAATTTAGTCTGTGAAGGATAACCACTGCCTCAATCCTCCAAAATCCTCTGCCAATTACTGCTATGGTTTAAGGCAGTGCAAATGGCCTTTAGAACTTGCAGTCCGGATGAAATACCAGAAAAACACAGGGCTGATTTATGCATGGCTGAACATGACTAATTGCAGGATATGACCATTATGTCACCTACTAAACTAGTTGGCGACGTTCTCAATAACAGGCATGCAACTGGGAATTTAGAAAAAAACGAGGAAACTCCAAATCACACAAGACTTTGTACAGTATTTTTTAATTTGTAATGGCATTCATTAGATTTATTTTTAGTAAATTATAAGTAAAAAACGAGGAAATCAGCGGATCCGAGGAAAAGTTACATGCCTGCAATAAACTGTATGACATAGGGCAGGGTTTTGATTTTTTTGAGGGAAATTTGGGGGTAAAATGACGATGACAGTGCGTTCTACTCCTAGAACTATGAGGCTCCGCGTGAGCGGAGCCTCATAGATCAAGAAGCCCGCAAAATTGCCTGCAGCACAAAACACTAATAAAGTACAAAAACGTCCATCAAAATGCAGCCATTTCACACAGAACCGCTGCACAGTTTGCCCCTATACTCCGTACTTTATCTCTTGACATACTCACGTATCTTGTGCGGAACTAACATAGGTGGATTCTGTCGGTTTTTAGGCCAAAATGATGAAAAATATGCCCTTTCCGCATTGAGCCAACCTGACACTTGAAACGTGCACGCATATGATCGAGCGATGATTTTCGGTTCGCTCGGAGCGCGCCGCGGGGGGTACGGTACAAGCACGTCATTTCGCTTGTACCGTACCCCCCGCGGCGCGCTCCGAGCGAACCGAAAATCATCGCTCGATCATATGCGTGCACGTTTCAAGTGTCAGGTTGGCTCAGTGCGGAAAGGGCATATTTTTCATCATTTTGGCCTAAAAACCGACAGAATCCACCTATGTTAGTTCCGCACAAGATACGTGAGTATGTCAAGAGATAAAGTACGGAGTATAGGGGCAAACTTAGCCCCACTAGTGTGGCCGTCGGTATGCTGCGCTGAACCTTTGGCCACACACCGTGGTACCGCGCGCTACTGAGGACGAAGTTTTTCATAAAATTCAGGGCAGTTTCTTACATTTTCAGTTTCTTACTTTCTTATGGTTGTATTCAATGATGTCTCCTATCACTTCTGGGATGCTCAGCATGTGCTTAGATCTAATGATGTTCCATTTTCCGAGATATTCTTCAATCTTTCTGGAGCCCATAATTATGCACTCGTGAAACGTCGTCTGGTGGTGGCAGCCATTTTGAATGTGACAAGAGATGACCTCAAGCTGTGACGTCGCGTTTATGCAAATTGCTTGTCGAGCGCGCGAGGGCGCGAGTTGCAAATGCGACGGCTGTTTCCTGTGCCGTAGATCCTGAATAGAGATCGGTACACGTGGCCCCCTGACGATAAATGCATGGTACAGGAAACAGCCGTCGCATTTGCAACTCGCGCCCTCGCGCGCTCGACAAGCAATTTGCATACACGCGACGTCACAGCTTGAGGTCATCTCTTGTCCCATTCAAAATGGCTGCCATCACCAGACGTTTCACGAGTGCATATGGACTCCAGAAAGATTGAAGAATATCTCGGAAAATGGAACATCATTAGACCTAAGCACATGCTAAGCATCCCACAAGTGATAGGAGACATCATAGAATACAACCATAAGAAAGTAAGAAACTGAAAATGTAAGAAACTGCCCTGAATTTTATGAAAAACTTCGTCCTCAGTAGCGCGCGGTACCACGGTGTGTGGCCAAAGGTTCAGCGCAGCATACCGACGGCCACACTAGTGGGGCTAGGGCAAACTGTGCAGCGGTTCTGTGTGAAATGGCTGCATTTTGATGGACGTTTTTGTACTTTATTAGTGTTTTGTGCTGCAGGCAATTTTGCGGGCTTCTTGATCTATGAGGCTCCGCTCACGCGGAGCCTCATACTCCGTTCAACATGCGGTACTGTCATGGACCGTCGGCACGCACGGCGTGCTGAATCACAAGGCACAAATCACACAGGAGTTTAGAATTTAGAAAAGTCTGGTTTTGACTGTCAAGTTGATTTTTGAGCAATCAAAAACGTTTTTGACTCTAATTTAATCAAAACAAAACAGGGGCCCTATACTTCACGATCGCCATAATTTTCACGTATTTGATGCAATGGTTACTAGCATGGTAAAACTTTTTCAGTGAAAATTCATCTGCCTCGGGTATTTGTCGTGATAAAAGCGAATTATTACAGAAATCCAAAAAGCAACCTAATCCGAAAACTACACATACACTTACCAAATTTCGTACTTGTTATTAACACATCAAACGTTGTCAAAAGCAAAAAATTAATCGTACGCAAATGCACAGCGACGGGGATATTTTCCCATTCATGTCTTTGACATTTTACACCACTGGTTCACCGTTTAGATCTTCATTTCTGCAAGAACAGAGCAGAAATTGCGGCTGAGTACCAGTGAAGCAAAAGGTTACCTGGGAATCGACAAATCACCCCTTATATTTATGCACCAACAAAATAGTTCCTTAATTGTGTGTTAAGATGTAGGCCAACATCAGACGGAATAAACTTGAAAAACGACAATTATAAACATTTAAAACGTTCTGCATAGGTTCTCATTATAACAAGAAAATGTATCAAAGAATGGTTTTACTGCTGCTTAATTAAAAGACTGTTATAGTTCCCATGACGATAATCTGGTTACTGCCGCATATGACTGCTATGACAATATATAGGAGACGAGGGATCTGCCAACCAGACTTGATAAGTAATTCCATCAATAGAGCGCAAACAAGTCAAACACAATACTGTGCGCTTTAAGCGTCGCAATTTCTTTGCAACGTTTATCACCCGGCAAAGTTCAAATTTCAATCCTTGGGGCTTACATTACAAAAATCGCCGTTAACCATTCAATACTAATGGGAAGATGCAGAGGTTCTGCATATGCCGTTCAAAAGTGGACAGCTGCATAAATATTTTCTGCCAACATATAAATAGCATAAAAGCAGCAAATGAAAAATTACCACTTTTGAACCACCGTGACCATGAACGTTCAACCTGCTTTTCTGGTGGCAGAAAAGCAGATAGTCATTTTTGAACCACCGTGGCTGCTCTCTCGGAAGGCAGGGGAAAAAATAGAAGTATAGTTCAATCGGCTTTTCTATTTGTTGTAAGAGAAAAGGCGATGTCCATTTTTAAACCATTGTAGTGTATGGGTAAAAAGTAAAATCTGCTTTTCCGTATAGCAGAAAAGTATAGAGAAATGAATTTTACAAAAAACGTTAAATCTGATTTTATCCTTTTCTGTTAGCAGAAAAGCAAATGTCCACTTTTGAAACTCAATATACCTGAATCGAAGTCTTATTTCATCACCGTTTTCACAAAGAGCCACACATTTTATTTCAAGAAATACAAAATGGATTAAATTGAAATTTGGTGCAATTAGTTTTCACGATGTGTAGCATAAGTAGTTTGAATGGCGTGAGAAACCGTGGAGCTATAAATATGATATGATCGTAACAATCTAGTGTTTTAAACGTTAAAAATCCATGTTGACTTCCATTAGGATTGTACTTGTTGCAAATAAAACCCTGTGTTACAATCATGATATCTGATTATTTGACGTTTTTTTAATGAAATTAAATCTTTTGATGTCAAACATCATGACAAATGAGTGTGCGAAAATTCAGTTTAATGTAACGTGTATTTCTTGAATTGTTGGCCCCAACTCGAGTTTGGTGGAGATCGAGACCACTATAATAGAGGGCGCGCCATATAAATAGTGGTCTCAACAACGCATCAACACACATGCTGCACAACTGAACAAAAAGAACAACCTCGTTTCCGATGAACTACTCAAGAAATACAAAATGGATTAAATTGAAATTTGGTGCAATTAGTTTTCACGATGTGTAGCATAAGTAGTTTGAATGGCGTGAGAAACCGTGTAGCTATAAATATTTTATGATCGTAACAATCTAGTGTTTGAAACGTTAAAAATCCATGTTGACTTCCATTAGGATTGTACTTGTCGCAAATAAAACCCTGTATTGTTACGGTCATAATATCTTGATTATTTGACGTCTTTTTATGAAATTAAATCTTTTGATGTCAAACATCATGACAAATGAGTGTGCGAAAATTCACATTTTTATTCCGAGTCGCATTTGCATAGCATCCGTGTGCGTGCACCATTTCTAACTGGCCCATAATAATGTTGATATACCCCTAACGTGGCGCGGTCCCAGTTCATTGCGCACTTATTTTTTCTCCTTCGGAGCAAATTATAAATTTTACATCGGTATTCTTGCAAAGCCTTCTAAATAAAGGGGTTGAATTGGCAACACTGCACGAACGAAACCGGACGAAAGTGTGCATCAAATAGACGTTGTCAATGTGGGCTGATTCATTTGCTATCCTCAAGCGTAAATGGCCTATAGTCCTTTTTGATACATAAAACATTTTAAATTATTGAAAGGTTCATAATATAAACTGTCAGTGTATGTTTGTCGAAGCATCAGTCATGCACCGAGTTCCCAAACATACTAGCCTGGGTGGGGAGGGCAAATGTCACCGCATGTGCTTAACGGAAATGGCAGCCTGGAAGCCGTGGATAAAATGATCAGTGGAGTCATGATGCAACAGACAAACCGCAGACAATAACTTGCATAAATGTCTATACCGAAATTCCTACGAAACGAAAATCGGCCGTCACGTACCGGGAAGTTACACCAGCTTGTTGGTTGCATGATCATTATAGGGCCTGTTATACCCATTGCGCTTTACACTCATTTTGCTGTATAACAGTTTCATAATCACTGTTGAATTACGTGACACTTGAGGATCGGAGACAAATCATGGAACTCGAAGGTTAGTGATTTGATGAAAATGTTTAAAGCAATTTTTGTAGCCTTGACCAATCTTGGGTGGTTTTTTTTTTTTTAGCACTATACATTTTTTGCTCGTGCCCGCGTCGGGCAGTTCATCGGCGGTGAAGGAATAACAGCAGCTGTATCTGTGGGCGGTTTGTGTGGTATGGCCCAGACCTGGAACTGGCAATTCTGAGCATTTTTGGATGCAATCGAGCTCGAAAGTGGCACTTTTTTTCATGTTGTGGAGGGATCGTTTTTCAAGATGGCTACCTTTCCGCTTTGGGAAAAATAGGGGTCGTCTTCTTTGGGTGAAACTTTCTCGAAAAGTCAATCGTCAACCCACCAAAAATAGAAAAGAAAAGAAAAGATGACATATTGATCGCCATTTCTCTGTGCAGCTTAAATGCATGCACGTGAGAGTTCTGAGTATTTTTAAAAGAATTTAGAAGTATGGGCATTTAGCACTAGTATCTATGGGGATTTTAATACACTTAGGACACCGGCGTATTTTCTCGTCATGGAACAATTTTATTTTTTTCAAAAAGCGAGCGCGCTACACAAACACTGCTCACCACGCTCCGACGTCTGGCCTTTCGAGATGTAAACACAGTTATTGTGAAAACGGGAACTCAAGATAAAGACATTGTATTGCAATGGAATTTCCTGTAATATTTTGCCATGGAATTTGACACGAAACTCTAGGAAATTGACAGGACACACACTCTCGTAAATAATGGATCGGTTAACGTATTCTTTTATGATGGGACTTGCGGTTTTGCCGAAGTCAAGGATCGGCTGACTGATAAGGTTTATGTACAAAGCCCCCGGCCAATGAGGTTTGGTATAGAATGGTGGACGGACCACTTTTTACAAGAGTACGCTGGTAATGTTTATTGATACAATAAGAAATCAGAACCGAACACTTATAAATGAAATTGCCGAAACGGATTAGTTGGTTGAGCCTCGATCCCGCCTGCCCCGCGGGCCCGCTCTGTGAAAACCAAGTTCATGGTGAAACTAAGATTGGCGGGAAATGACATCAGTCGAAATAAACTTCCGTAATAGTACTATCCAGGTCCAAATGCTCTATGTTGTTGATTTATATAATTGCACTGGACAGATCAAATAAAAAAAATCTTTATCAACTATATGTAGTAGCATTTGATGTGGTAATTGCTGATAAAGAGGCCTTAAAAAAGTGCTCGTCTTCGTCGAACGGCGACACGCCCCCTCCCCCCCCCCGCCCCAGAGGTCCCCCCCCCCCCCCCCCAATTAAAAATCTTGAATTTCACTAAAACAATGAAAAAGTTGCTTACCTTGAAAATTGGTGCCCCCTAGCCCTGCCCCCTAGAAGTTTAACCATAGTTACGCCGCCGCTGGCTGGCCGGGTATTAACAAAAATACCCACGATGTAAACGATTTCGCAGTCGCATATCGCACCGGCAAAAATGAAGCGCGCCCTCTTTCCTAAAAAAAAAAAACTTTCTTGAGTCTTGAGTCCTGACTTGGATAAGGAGTTTTTTCAGAAGAATACACGAAGTTGCCAGACGACATCTGATTACGGAATGGCATGTTGTCGTGTTTGTTTGTTTGGACCTTTGATCTTCGGTCATGTAAATATCGGAGACAGATTTATTAGCCTTCTTTGTCACGCGTCACGTTGGTGTGCATGTGGGCCGCGCCAGCCGTCTGCTTATTCGAGGGAAGCTGTGGACGGAGAGAGGTACATGTACTGCTTACTACTCGGACTCGATATGAGATGATTGGACCATGATTGGGGCGAATGTTCGGTGTTTTATGCGCCTAGGCTATAGCTTGAGTAACTCTAGCCGGCCCCATATGTGGCCAATTTACTGGACTACCTCCGTAAATAAAGGCCACACTTCCACCATGTACAAACACATGTAGCTTTGTCAAATTTTGATTGTCACATTTAGGCTTAGCTTGTAGTTTATTTTTGCTTTAGAAACATACGTACTCACCCTCTTTTTATTGGCTAATCAGAAAGTGCTGCCTTTTTCAGAATGTCTATTTTTCGTGAAAATTCTAGATTCGTTTGCACACGTTTGCATATCAAAATTTCAACATGATAGGCCTATTTCACGAAAATTAGACATCTGAAAAAGGCAGCACTTTCTGATTAGCCAATAAAGAGGGTGAGTATGCTTCTAAAGCAAAAATAAACTACAAACTAAATGTGAAAATCAAAATTTGACAAAGTTCTACATGTTTTTGTACATGGTGGAAGCGTGGCCTTTATTTACGTAGGTAGTCCAGTAGCTTGGCCACATTTATGGGGCTAGCCAGCATCTAGAGCAAGGATCCTTGTTGTATGATGTAAAGCACCCATGTTCTAGGGATTGACACATGAGGCTGTATGGGTTTAATTACCAACCAAGTGACACCTTTTAGCACTGAAACAAAAGCAATTGCCTGATTTCTCCTTTTGTGAGATTCGCCTCTTCAATTTCATCAGGGAAGGGAATTTGAAAATTTAATTTTTTGAACAAAGATTTGATTTCTGTTAATCAACAGAAATTTGTTATTGTTTTTGTTTCTCCACTGTGTTTTCCCATTGCTTTTGTATTTGTTCATTTGAAATGGAAAAAAAAGTACAGAAAAAGAGATGCAGCTGAACCTTCAAAAGATTTTTGGACAACGCAGTGGCTATTGTTACGGCAGCCGTAATGCACCTCCCATTTTCTATCGTTACGGTAGACTGCAACTTTTATAAAAACATGACAAGAAAATATAAAATAAGAAGGACAAAAGTGAATTTGAACGTTATAAAATTCGGACTTTATTTCCCTTTTAAAAAAAATCCTCCAAAGCCTCAGGTTAGAAAAGGAAAAAAATTCGAGTGCAAAACTGAGATCCGAACCCGCAACCTCGCGGTGCAAAATCCTACTGTCTATCGACTGAGCTGTCGCACTGCTCACCTGCACGTGGGGAAACAAATAATTATATACCTGCGTGCGTATCAAAAAAGTATCGTAGAGGGCGCTAAACAACGAATGCCGTAACGATAGCCACTTCGTTTGGACAAATTGTCCTCTTTGCAGATAATTCAAGCACAGTCACACCTGCCACCATGCATAACTCTACGACCCAACCCTCAAGCAACGCCTTCAATGACCTGTACCCAGCGATCTTGGAATGTTTTGGGATCATCCTCCTCGGCTATGTGGCTGGCAGGACTAAGATTGTCTCCCCAAGCAACTCCAAGGGCCTAGGCAACTATGTCACGTACTTCGCCCTGCCAGCGCTAGTCTTCAAAGCTATGGTGGAGATGGATTTCTCAACGGTGAGTTTGCTATAGGGCTGTGCATTGGAACCAGGGGACGGGTACACGGGTACCCGAACATTGATGTCAGGAACCGGTTCCCGATTATGGGATCTTGTACCCGCAACCAACTTTACAAATTACTTAGTAACTTCTCAGACTATGAAACAGAAATGTATTGAATGTCATTTGTGTGAAGTGAAAACCAGGCTACATGGGAAAACAAACATATTTCACATTTATGACGCTCACGAAGATTGCCGTTTGCACGGTAGACTTATAAAGCTCACTGTACAGTGTAAGTTTGTATCTTGCTGTATTGATGCTCCGATGTGGTAGTACTATTATCGTGTAGACTTTCATCAACAATGTGAACAGCAACTTTGGAGATTTGAATTTTGGGGTTTGGTTTCTTCAAGTTCAACGTGTTGAATTTATTATTATATTCATTCTTTTACTGTTATACAAACAATATTTGATCTTGAAAACCCTGAAAATCATTCTCTAATTTCATAATTGCACAATGTGACTTTAGAGAGGTATTTTGTACTTGTAAAACATTTGGCAGCTAAATGCTAAACAGAACTTTTTTTACAGGTACATACATGTGTGTGTTGCTGAACCCAGATGCATTTCACATTATACTGCATGGTCTCTGCAAGTACCAGTTTTCAAGGTTGTTAATGCACGTGCCTACATGTAGGCATGTGTTTGTGCATTTAGCTGTAGGATCTATTGTGCAGTGATCCCACTCCCAGCAGACTTTGTGCAGTCTTCTCATGACCTTTCCTTGCATAACCCAACTCTTTTATTGTTATTTGTAGGCACATACATACATCTTGAGTATGTCATAATGTACCAGTATGCACTGTATGTAATACACATACATACTACATGTAATGTAGCTGCTAAGTATGCACATGCGGAAACATGTGATGCACAATGAATTGGGCAATAAAGGTTTTTAATATTTGTTTGCCTTCTTTGATAAGTCTGGCATTAGTTTCTGTTAAAGGGAATGTACATGTACAGCATTTGCTTTTGCTGCAATTTTCAGAAATAAATGAATTTGGAGGATCAGTATGTTCCAGCAAATATTGTTAAAATGACTTGCTTCATGTTTTGGGGTTGTACTTTTGTAGATGCTGGAAAAACCAAGAAAACCAATCATGTTCTTGTAGTCTGGTTCCCTGACCCCACTTAAGATGAATCGAAGCAATTTATAGACTTTGGGGAATTGTAATGTCAGAGAATCAGTCTAGAAGGCTTGTACCCCTTCACATGTGTGTAATCAACTGCAAAGAAAAGGCAGAATAACTAATTAGGAAAAATTAGGAGCAGTTTTTGAAAAAAGCCAGTTTTCTCCAACGCTGGTCAGCTGACTAGCGCTGACCAGCGTTGGAAAAATACCATTTTTCTTGAAAATGTCAGCACACCAGGAGCCACGATTTTACAGGATGCTTTAGACTGTCATTTCCTAACAATCAAGTATTTCGTGATAATTTGATGATTTTGTTTTGTGCTGTTTGCAAATGTTGTATCTTCCCTTTAAGCTGATGTATACATGTACATGTACCAGTACATGTACATTAAAGTATTGTACCCCCTGGGTGTCCTATTGTTAGTTCTGTACCAGCAGTCTTCATTTGTTTGACCATTGTGATAAGCTGATAATAGATTGAATACCAGCTGTCACGTGTACCTCTTCCGTGAGTTGTGTTGACCTTGCAAGGTTGTTTAATAGCGTGGGAGAATCAAGCAAAATCAGTCTTGATTATGTAAGGAATGGTCACCTGCGCCTTCACGTGCAAAGTTTTGTGCTCCAACTGATAAAAATCTGCTGTTAACAAGTTACTGTATTTTTAAAACAAAGAAATTCAGTCCGTTTATTTTCTTTTTAGACTTTTCTTGTGTCTTACAAAGTAAAAGAATGTATACATTTGTACTGTGTACAAAATTAACATAAAATATCTAGAGCATTGCTCAAAATTCATTGGAAATGTTTCTTGGTGGCTTGATTTTCCCTCATTTTCCCATGATGTCCCGATAGAGAGTAAAGAAATACCATCAATTAAGTGATGCTTTTGATAGATACATGTACATTTGCCACTGGTGAGGGTGTGTCTGTGAAGAGAGTCCACCGTATTATTGTCATTGAATTGAATAGCAAATACCAATAACAGTTATGCACTCTCTATTATTCCACTAAATGTACCATTAAGGAGACATGTTATCGTAATTTCTTCAAACAGTCATTAGGGAGACATTTATTACGAGTATTTCATATTTACATGTACATGTAGCCAACAAAACATACAATACAAAACAACAATATTGCTCAAACTTATTTTTTAAAAATATAGGAAAAACGTTAGCAGAGGCCAAAAAAAGGGCTCCAGTTTTTGGTCTGCATGTGCGTCGCCGTAGCCATGCGCATCCGCAAAATAAAAAAAAAAAAAGTTCAATCTAAGATGATGTCTGAAAACCGCCAAACTCACTGGTTTGACTGGAATCCTGCTGCTGCACAATTTTAATGTGTTTTTAGATTGGGCTATGATCAAACTAGCTTTATGTGGCCTTTCTGGGCTCCCATACATTTTGCACTACATTTAGTCTGGCACCATTTGCAGTCATCAGCTGACATTTGAAGAAGAAAAAAAGAAGACCAAAAAAAAAAAAAGCCGCGTCGCCGCACTACTTTTGGTGCAAGCTCCATACCAGAAACCAAAGACTTTTTTTTTGGCCTAACACAGAATATGTCAGTTGTGCTTTGAGTATCTTTAAACTCGTATTTTCTTAATGTCATTGTACAGGTCAATTGGCTGTTTTGGAGTAGCATTCTCATCTCCAAGACTCTAGTCTTTGCAGTGGTGTACTTTGCTGCTCTCTTCATCAGCCGTAAGATTGACGTGGGAAGGGCTGGCATCTTTGCCATCTTTGCAACGCAGAGTAACGACTTTGCATTGGGCTACCCTATCAGTAAGTGCAAGATTACAAAAACTCCAGACACATTCATCAGGGTTCTTGAAATTAATTTTTCTCAGGAACATATTTTGTGCAACTTTCTACTCCTCTTAAATGTCTAAAAACTACTTGACATCCCTTTTTCGGTTATTTTATCATGTTTATTGAAAAGTGCACTTCTTTAAATATTTAAAATTGTCCATGCTTTTTCGGACAACTGAGGGTGCTGTTGCTGTGATGTCATTTCAGAAAGACTCTGTTCAGTTTAGGGGGTTTTCTGTTCAAATTGTAAACCCAAAATTTTGCTCATTGAAAACATCTGTGAGAAAAGTTTGCTCATTTGCTTACTGCTACGTGTATGTACTGGAGCAAAACTGAATCAACTACCAAATTTTTTTGTTAGGCATAAAAAAATGGAAAACACTGCAGAGAGTCTCATTTGAGACTTCCCCGTTGCAAGACTGGTAGATGACATCGTTATGAGTTTGTGTACTTTTTTCCCCTCCCCTGGCAGTCAATTCCATGTACAAACTCCACCATCCTGACTTTGTCAATTATCTCTACCTGATGGGACCTATCAGTCTTGCTATACTCAACCCGATTGGCTTCCTGTCTATGGAGATCCAACGTAACCGGCAAGCTACGCATCGACACTCACGTCTCGTCATGGTGAGCATTAGGTCCTAATTTCCATCTTTTCTCATCAAGCCCCCGACCCTAAAGATTTTATCGTCAAGTTAAACCATCTTCATGAAAACGTTTGTCATTGTTGGTTTTTAGCAATATCGTATGTGAACACTTCAATAGCCAGTAATGTAGTACTTTTTCTTTTCAGATTGGTCACGCCATCAAAGGTCTGGTAACCAACCCCATCATCGTCATGGTAGTCCTGGGCATCGTGGGTAACTTTGCCTTTTCTCACAAGCTGCCTGTGGTAATCAGTGACTTCCTGTCAGTCCTGGCTGATTCTTTCTCGGCCACCGCGCTGTTCTTCCTGGGCATCGGTATGGTTGGCAAAATGAAGAAGACCAACAGCCTGTTCTTCCTGACTCCTATGCTTCTGATTGGCTGCAAACTGTGAGTACTGTCAGAGCTTTTTAACTCCAACCCCCCGGTGTACCTGCAGCCAATGTTATGAAACAGTTTGCAAGGGCGTTGCCCAATGTAGAGAGTTGGCCAGCAAGCTATATGCATGTACAACAAACGTACTTTCAGCATTGCATAATGCTTTGGCTGAAAAGAAGTAGCCAATTTGATGAAACTTTGCAAGGATGTTGCCCCACTTATGCCACATTTTGTTGATTAATTTGCTCAACAAGCTATGACAAAAGTTAGGATAAATGCTGTGAAAATTATGCAAGAGCGTCAGAGCAGAAATGGTTCCATTAATTAACCCTGATGATCCTCATCCAGCCGAACCCCAACTCCAGGGTTTGTTGGGATCCTTCAGTTCCTTTTCTTTGTACTGTACTGTTGTGTAAAAACCTTTCTGTGGTGATATTTTAGAAAGTAATTAATTTGTTTTTCTTTCTCTCAGAATAATGATGCCCCTAGTAATGCGTCAAGTAATCCTGATTCTGAAACCCGGCGGTGCTGACACGAACTTGACGGAGGCTTTCTCCTCCTTTGGCTTCCTGTATGGTACCATTCCTACTGCGCCGCCTGTTTACATGTATGCAATACTCTATGGGCAATCTGAAGACGTGGTAGGTACATGTAGTAACCCTTGGCAAGTACTGAATTTTTCAACTTGTCGTGCGTGTGAAGAAATACTGCGCAAGTACATGCAAGTAGTTGACTGTATGCGCATAAACAGGAGAAAAATAACAACGATACATATTGGTTACATGTAAGAGTTATCATCCAAAGTAACAATATGTAAATTGCCAGTAAGTTGAATATTTTACAGCAGTTTGGTTTCATTACCGTGCGAGTTTTGGTTGCTTTCTGGATCAATCACTTGCAAAATATGTAGATATTGTCAGTAGGTTTATATCATATCCTAAGAATTACCAATCAAATCAACCAGACGGAAGGGAATCTCAATAAAGTGCTCAAGTACGCAATTCAGCACAGGACATCTCATATTGTCAAGTTTTGACATCTTACAAACACAAAAGCATTCAGATGCCTCATTTATAAATTCAAACCATTGTTTAATGAATATTCATAAATACCTCAGACAGTTTAGCCATTCCTATTGGTCGACAGCCCGTCACGTGGCCGGTATTAAACGGATGATAAAGACATGGCTAGCTGGTCTTAAACACTTTTCCAGTGTCACAATAAAATGTGGACTCCTAAAAATCCAGTGCCTCTTATCGTTTCATTGGTTGAACGTTCACAATCCTCACGTAGGCATGCGCAACACTACCAGGGAGTTAGAATTTTATAGTTCAAAATTCAAAACGCAACGCGCCAGGTGCGTTCTGCGCGACATCGCGTAGAACATGATACGCGCGCGTCAATCTCCATAAAAGGGTTGTTTTCATCTTACTCGCCAGCTGAACACTCCATTATTTTGCAGGAGGGATGTTTCAAAAAGCATAAAGTGAATTTGTTGAACAAAATCGGGATGTTTTGAACGAATTATATGATTTTTTTTTACCGAAAAGGTATTTATGAATGGGAATAAATATGTACTCCGTCGGTATTTATCACTCTGTTTAATACCACTTAGAGTCTGGGTGCTGATAATTACCCTCGCCTCCGGCTCGGGTAATTATCAGCACCCAGACTCTAAGTGGTATTAAACAGAGTGATAAAAACCTCCGGAGCACACATTTATTCCCTTATTAAAACTTTACTTGTATGTATCCCCCAAAGAAAAAAGTTAAAACTGCAAGGTCCTTGCATACTAGTTGAAATACTATTGAGCAACAACTGAAATCGATCTTGATTTTTGCGAAGTCTTTTTTTCTCTGCAGTAAATACATAGCTCCCATTTTCCTTCTTCGAATCGGCCAAAACTAGATTACTGACCACAAAACGTACCAAAATGATGTGAAGGAACCACACAATAGAGACAAACAATCAAGTATACAATGTAGGGGCATTTTTCTAAGCACATTAACCCTAACTCCTGGGGCTCTTTTACTAGAAAGTATCCTGAATCCGCCAAAATCCACCAATTTTGTCATGCAAAAATTGCTGGTATCCTGAATCCATCAGAATCCCCCAGTGTAGATTCTGGAGGTATCCTGAATCCGCCAGAATCCACCAGCAAAAGTCTTGATGGATTCTGGCGGATTCAGGATACCATGGTGGCATAAAAAAAAATATAGCATGTTTTTCCATAGAGTCTTCAAAATCCATCACCTAAATTTCTGGTGGATTTTGACGGATTCAGGATACCATGCTCGCATGAAAATTGTGATGTGTGTTGTTGCATAGGATCCATCATAATACACCAATGCATCGCGACCCCAGCATGGATCAGTACCGAAGTGAATACGTCTCGCACACAAAATTTGTGTGAAAGACATTAGCGCGTGTTTCAGCCCGTAAACCATAGATATAGAATGAAAAGACTAGATCGGCAGCGGGTCCACACGCGCCCAGTCACTGTGCGATAAATCTCCGCCATTTTGGTTGTCTCTCAAAGACGCGCAACAAATTAACGTAAAGTAATGGAGCTAAATGTATCTTTCCTCCAGCACGTGACCTAGCTCAACACGCGCGAAGCAAGAAATGCGCACCGAGTATTTACGCGATGCGCACACATAATTATTAGCGATGCACATGGTGTTCTTTGCGCGTAAACGGCATTGCGTTCGTCACGTTTTCGCACATTATTTGTATCTTTCCTCCAGCACGTGACCCTCCATGCAAGTCCACCCAGTACATGTGTGTACATGTTTGTACAGTATGTGACAGACTTGGCAGGGCTAGTGCCAGCAATATTTACTTGACCACAAACATTGCAAAAGAGTTCAACTGTTGAGATCCTGAATCCATCAAAGTCCCCCAATAGCTCAAAATGGAGGTATCCTGAATCCATCAAAATCCGCCAGTTCCGCTAGGCTTCGAATCCTGAGTCCATCAAAATCCCCCAGTTTGTTCAATATGGAGGTATCCTGAATCCGCCGAAATCCCCCGAAACAGGGGGGTGGATTTTGATGGATTTAGGTACGTTAGGGTTAATACATTTCTTCCTCATTTCAGATTGCAACTTCCATGGTACTCTGCACCTTTGCGTCGGCGCCCATGATGTTTATCACTGCCACTATGGTCAACCTACCAGTGCAGACCAGCGCAGAGACTCAGTATCTACTCTCTACTGTCATGGTGGATGTGGGCTGCATTGGCATAGCATGCTGCGTGAGTATTGTCCAGATGAATGTGCAAGCATCTACCATCATGTGCGTGACAGTATGTTCTTCATGATTTCACCAAATAAGAGTTTTGTGTTGAAGGAATAGTTCATCTGACATTAGACAGGAGTCTGGGCTCCGTGGATAACGGGTGATACTCAGACTATGTATTTTAGAGGCGGAACTCAAAATAAAAGCCCAAATAGAAAGGAAAAAAAGCTATTTTTTTTCGTCAAAATAAAATATGGTAATTGACGATTTGTTAGGGGGAAAAAAGGTACTTCGTTTAAGAGCACAGGGGTTCAACTTGAAGAGGTTTTTTGTGTATTAGTCTTCAATTTTGGCCATATACTTGAATGCTTATATCAGTACTGTGAGGCCAATATATTTATATTTGGGAAATTTCTAATGATTCAATGGGGCTCTCGGATATATCCATGAGTTTAACGAGTTCAGCTTTCAATACTGCGATGGAATCGTGATAAAGAACATGAGTTTTTTATCTTCCTGTTTTCAGTTCTGGATCCTAGTTGTATTCGTCTTAAGCAAGAGGTACAACCTGATTCCCCACCACTTCACTACACATCTAGTTGTAGCACAGGTAAGTCATTGGCAGACAGTGTGGAGAAGAATGCTCCCAGCCAAAATTAAGTCAAACGGATGCTACGTTGAGTGAAATGCACTGATAGTTATGACAACATGGAGCTGGCAAGCACATTGTTGGTTTTTAGCAATATCGTAGACGTTCACTTCCTCATGCTACGCTGATTTCAAGATTACAAGATTCAAGATTATAGCCAAGTATAATTCGGACATTGCTTAAGAAACTTGAACACTTAATTTTTTACTTTTCAAAAGTGCGTTTTCAAAGCGTTTTTCTAACATGCTTAATTTTTCACATTTTGGTAACTTATTTACCGGAATAAGCCAAGTGCAATGTTGTTGTTTTTTCTTTCTTTCTTTTTGTCATCAGTTGTTGGCATCCATTGGTATCGTCCTGACCAGGACAGTAGTTGACACTAGCTGGGTCATGATTCTCAAGTCTGTGGTTCTTCTCATCGGAGTGTTCAGCACACGTTGCTGGGCTGCCTTACTGGCCATTGCACTGTGTATCATGAGATGTAGGAGTCTATGTGCGGTGCTCAGATTGCGACTGGCATTTTACATCTACGGATGGGCGTGAGTCTTCAATTTCTTTTAAGGCCAATATCATCATTGTAAAACAACAGCCCAAACTATGAAAAGGGAATAAATGTGTGCTTGGCTTGTTTTATACACCATGTTTAAGACCGGTTGGAGTCTGGATGCTGATAGCTGAATTTTCAGCATCCCAACTCCAACCGGTCTTAAACACCTTTTTTGAAACTTCTCTCTTTATATTTCTTGTCTTGATGCAGGGTACCGACTCTGCTGGTAGCCTTGATTATCGCCATAGCGCCTCCAGTATACAGCGTCAATCAGCAGAGTGGTGTCTTCCAGTATGGGGACTGGCAGGTACGTGTGCATAGGTTGCTTGCTACACTCTAGACTTGCAGGCCAGTTAAGAGGCCTGAAATTGCCTACACGGCCAAAGCGCGATTTGCATGCCCTCAAATTCTCTGATATTAGAGCATTTTGTGGGCCATGAACTTGAGAGTTTGTAAAAAAAGAACGGTTGAAGTCGTGTACAGGACTTCAAGCTCGTATTTCTGTTGAATTTGGATGAAATTTGATTCCCCATTCGGACCATATGTCAGTAGAGTTGTGCATTGAATCTCTCCTGTGCCATGAGGGTTTTTCTCCGGGCTCTCTTGTTTTCTTCCCCCCTCAAAAATCAGATGCTTTTGATCTCTGGCTGTGCTCTGTGATCAGACATGGGTCGTATGGCGACTGCCAAAGGCGCCTTTACGTGCCTTAGCTCAACTACGTTGTAGCTGCGTCCTTCACAATTCAGCTTCTCAGCTGCGAGTATTGACAATGATTAGCCCCCCCAAATTAGTATTATTATTGTTTTGTTTCCATGCAGCTCATCGCATCCATTATCATACTGGGCTTCAACTTCATCCTGGCTGTCATCGCTCTGATTATCCTGCACAGAAAGGATCGCTACCGACACCTCTACGAGGTCAAAGCTCAAGCCAGCAGTGCGGACTGTTCAGAGGGAGAAGGCGAAACAGAGAGGATGTTGAAAGCCTCTGGACAAGGTACGGAATCCGTGCTTGCATTTGGCCTGGGGCAACTGGTTGAGAATTAATCTTGCACACTGGTTTTCTGTTGCCACTGGGCTGATACCATATTTTGTTACGGCCAGCTGAGTTAAACTGTAGAGATTTTTGAACCAACAAGGTAGCTATTGACTAATGTTGCACTCTTACAGATCGTGAAAAATTGTCTATACAAGAAAGCGACCAACTGTCACGGAGAAGTAAGTTTACAAATCATGGCGGCTAAAATGTATAAAGATATTGAGTGCTTTCATGGTGTGGTTTAACAAGCCTCCTGAGGTGACCCATGGAGTGTTCTATTTTTTCAAAGCAAAGCTGCGGAAAAATAGAACTCTCCATGGATCACCGAGAGAGTTAGTCTGTGAAATATCCCCTTGCACAGCAAGGGTCTATGATATGCGAGCGGATTTGGCGGTTAATTATGCCAAAATAAGACTGCGTCTTGACATCCAGATTCTAACCATTCAGCGGGCGCCGTCTATCGGGTCTTCAGTAAACCCATTGTTGTATTTCAAAAACATGGCAGACAAATTGACCAATCAACAGCTGAGTCCACATTTTGGATTAAAATGACATCACAGTTTTCAAAGTCGCATCCGATTGGCTGGCGTGCGGCCTCTCATAAAATGTGCATGTTCACATATATCAGATGTTACGGAGTGGGCTCCGTTGAGCAGTGGATGAAACTCAGACTAAGAGGGAGGCTGGTTTACTAAAATGTTATTTAAGCAGTCATTTAGTTGTTTTATAACGTCTCACCCCAGATTCTGTTAAATTTTCTGACATTTCTGATTAATCAACCCAAAATCCATAACGACTGTATTTGTACCATAATATGCAATTAATTGAAAAATTTACTTGCACTTTTCATGAAAATGTTTGGACGCAACTCTGTACATGGGAACAATACGCGCAATACGCACACCCATTTTGGCAACGGACGGCAAGATTGTAAATATTTCGAATACCATGTGACACACTCTCAGCCAATCAAGAGATAGAATCTGTGGGTGAGGTGTTGCAATACCCTCCATACAATTCACTTAGATCCTGAAATGGTTAGAATAATAAGCCACTAGATATAGAATGTCAACCAACAGCCTTTTCACACTAAACCACTGAAACTTGGAGTTTACCAAACATGCCAAACCATGGTTTCTGCCCTGTTGTGTTCCCCCTGGTAATTTCATGGTAGTATCAAAAACGAAGACCCCTATAACAAAGACTGAAGACTGGAGACCCACTCGACAACAAACACCCACTAATAAATGAAGACCTGTTTTCGAGTGGATCTTTGTTGTCGAGTGGGTCTTCGGTCTTCGTTTTATGGGTCTTCGTTTTCGATACTTCTGTAATTTCATCCCCAATTTCAACCCTGCACAAACATATGTGTACACTTCATTACACAATCCTCACTCCTGTAGAACGCCGTTACACATCCACCATGATATGTGCACAAGATTACAAATATCAATAAATCTGAAAATAAAAAAAAAATCACCTTTTGCATTTTTCTCCACTACGGCCTGTGGCCAGTTCCGTCTCATTTTGTAAGAACACCTCACATTTGTCCTCAGACTCTTCTATCTTTGTGTCTGTCTTTTTAGGGGAGTCCAATCACAACCTTCCCTCGGACATTGAGGACATGCGTACCACTTACCAGACATGCTCACTGTCCACCAACTGTAACGACGCGCAACGTGAGACGTGTCGACGCCGTACCCAGCAACACCAACGCCTGACAGTCAAAGCCATGGACGGAACGGACCTAGATCCTGATGATGTTGTGGCTTCCCATCAGCTGGGCAGACACATACTGCTCCTACTCTTCCTCTTGCTATCAATGACAATTGTAAGCTTTTTTTCCCTTAAATGATTATGTGATAGTGTAGAAATACCCACACCAAATGAATCATTTTATATGTCTGGCCAGATTACTCAGGACAGCCTTGATTGCTGGGTCGGTGCATAAATAGTCTGTAAGACTTCAGTTTGTATATTGGGATAATGCATGTTTTATGACAGCAAACCCATCACTAGTTAAGGTTCTTGTAAGTATTTTGGCTGTGTGGCATTTATAGTCATCCACTGTATTTTTTCCTCGTCGTGAAAGCTCACCTTGTATTATTGTCCCTAGTTAATACGGTTTGCATCACCTTTTTGAAGAAAATGGATCATTCCTTCATTCATAAAAATGCAAATTAGCCCTAGCACGCAGGGTATAAAACCCCTATGAAACCACTGAAGGATGTCTTTGTTTCTTGTGGAACGGTTTAGCACACGTGTAGTTTCACTACGGCTTCAACATTTTGCACTTAGTTCGACAATGCTTAGCTACACCCAGTTTGAATTTGTCTACATGTACTGCTTCGATATGTCGGAATATACCGCGAATGTCCAGTAAACATGTGGTACGAAGAGAATCCGGACAGGCCTCGCCTTGGGTCGTCCCTCACAATCAGCACTGCCCTAACCATTCTTGTGGTTGTATATTGCGCAGGGTTTTTCAGTGTGTGTCTGGAAGTTGTCCGGTGAATCCCAGAATTCCCTGTACCTGATGCTGGAGTTTCTGGACACGGTCTTGGCATATTGCCAAGGGTTCTTCACTCTGGCTGTCTTCGGCTTCGACACACAAAACGTCATCATCCCATTCTACAATGCGTAAGTTTATTTCTTTCCGTTATATTTATAAAAAGAAACAATTAACATTCCGTCTGAGTCATCCACATACTAATGTGTATTGCAACGTGGGGAATGATTCCTATTAACCAAAACGAAGTTATTGGTTGAATTGTGCCACCATGACAAATGAATAGACCTGAATCATAATGACGTCACGCTTTATTTACATACGTGTGCTTTCCTATGGGAGCTTGGTGGCTCTCGGCCCCTCCTGGCTCCCATTCTGAGGGGTGTCCTAGTAAGTGATAACTAGGCTATTGTAATGATCTGACTTCAAAATATACATACTTGTTAATACATTTTTTGTAGTTGCTATATGTGCAGCAATACAAAATTTATTTCCTTTTTAATGAGACATTAAACCATAATTTAGTTTGAAGGTTAGACTGGTTGCCCCACTCTCAGAATCACCCCCTAGGGAGTTAGGATCAAGGTCCGAGATCCAGTACAATCGTTTATAGCTTGTCGTACTTGAATCTCTTGAGAAGGAATGACTTGTAAGGATATCTCTGTCTTTTTCAGACTCTTTACGAATTCTAAAATCTTTCCTCCTTTTTGATTTTTTGCTCAAACCAATCTGACTGATGCATCTAGCATTGTATGCCGATGTGTACTCACATACATATCAACCAATATGAGGTACATTCATGTCTCCATGTTTGCCAGAAGCATGTGTTTCCATGGCGATTCTCGATGTTGAATGTGGTATGTAGCCATTCGTGATTGCATCGGAAAAAAAAGCACAGCACGTAATTGCATCTTTTCCCTTTTTCTTTTTTCTGCCAAATATTCTGCAAATGCTCCCAATTCTTGTATAGAATACCCCTGCTTCGTTCTCCCTGTTTTGTCCGTTTTCCCCCATAAAAGTGCCTTGTCCTGGTAATGTGCATTCACACTGTGCAGAGTATTACTAGTTTTGTTTCCTGCAGTCCATTTCACAAAACTTTACGTAATTACGTCAGTCCACTTGCGCCACAATTTATTACGTAAGCTGCGCAACATTTCAGTTAATGACAATTTCACAAAAGTTTCATAGTGCTCAAAGTCCGCAACATTCGCAGCAAATTATGGCATTATGTCCTAACTTGTGCAATAAGTTTAGGTGATGTAAGTTGTAGCATAGCGACTGAAAATGACCTATTTTACCTTCAAATCATGATCGGTGTGAAACCTGTTACTGCCCCACTTATCAAGGTTGACACAGAACACTCGCAGCTTTGTAAGTTTATTGCGCAGCTGTGCAGTAAATTTGTTAGTGAGTCATACGCACGATGCAAGTTACGCACTTTTTTTGGAATTGGCTGCTGTTGCCTTTACTTTGCAGACTTTAGTTGAATTGGCTTTGTTGATTTGTTGTATATTTTACAGTTTGGTTTACAATATAGCCGTTTTCAAATAGTGAATACATGTTCATTGGTCGCTCTTGAAGATATTTCTGTGTGAAATCATCCATTTTCAGACATTGAAGTGACTGTATAAATGTCCGTCTGTTGTCTTCCAAAACCATCTAACAATATGTCTGCATGATTTGAGTGTGCTTTTCTCATTTTAAAACTCTCCATAGTAGAATAGGCGGGGATAAATAGACTGAATTATTCATCATCTGAAAATTAGAAATGAAAATACTGTATGAAGAAAAGATAGAAAGCTCTTGCATGAAGCGTTGCAACAAAGACAGGGCAATAGGTGCCGGTGAAAGGTACGTGGAATCAGATCAAAGTACTGGCACGACACTATATAATCATTTGAATTGACAAACAAATCGAGTTTCCTTCATAAAGCATGACAGAATATGATCATTTCACAAGGTGCGTGTGTGTAGCAATCCACGTCTTTTTGCAGAAACTTTTTTTTGAAGAAACTGTTAATTTGCTGTTGACTGTTGCACAGATATGTAATCTCCAAAATGGGTTTTGCCCTTCACTGACGTATTTTATAAACACTGTATATTCACTGTTGTCCTGAGTTATTGTGAGAAAAATTCACACTACTTGGATTGGACTCAAACTCACGACCTCCTGCTTACTAGCACAGACGTCTTACCACACGACCACCAATCGTGCCTGGGTTGGCAAGCTTAGCGGTCAGATTCGAACCAGCCAGCCGACCCGGCAAGCTCAGCGGTCAGTTGGCACGACGTCTGTGCTAGTAAGCAGGAGGTCGTGGGTTCGAGTCCCACCTGAGTAGTTTGTGAATTTTTCTCACAATCAGTCAGGACAACACTGAGTATACAGTGTTTATAAAAATACGTCGGTAAAGGGCAAAACCCAATGTTGAATTTAGATCAGCCCGACGCAAATTCCATCTTATGAGTAACATGTAATTGCCCCATGACAAACAGAGCATACTTGTTGAAATGCTTGAATACTTCCACTGAGCGTTACACATTGTTTTTCTGATTTACAGAATGCGACGGTTACTTTGCCGTAAGAAGTACCGGCGGTCTTCCACTGATGAGGTTGATGAGCTGGATGAAGACACAAAGCACACTGTACAGCAGTTTACACAGCATCATATCCATACATGCAAGAAGGATATCCTGAAAGACAGGTGAGACAAATGTGCAACGTACAGAGAGGATAAAACTAAATTAGACAGGCATGATAGTTTTTTGTGTCGCCTAAACAAAGTTTGGGGGACACTTACCAGATTAATTTCAAAATCTTGAGCTATAATAAAAGTTCAGCTGTTCTAATGTTTATTTACAGACAAGTTTGTATGTTTTTGTGCTCACAGCGTTGGGCTTCAACAGAGTGATGGGGTGTTCCGTGGCACGGACTTCGTTGATTGGCTAGTTGAAGTTGGCCTGGCCATAGATAGGGAGGCTGCCGTTGTCTATGGCAACAGGCTTCTGATTGGTCAGATCATCCGGCATGCAGACAGGACGCACGGCGGCTTTCAGGACCGCCAGGTGCTGTATAAATTTGACTACAAGGACGAGTCAGAGAGTGATGACCTCCAAGTTGTGACATAGACAGCCATCTTGGTCTGGGACTCTGTCTCCCACTCCAGGTCGGTGTGAAGTTTGTTACCAAATCACGGCCGTACTGGCTGATTTTCAAAGTACCAACTTTCTGAAAGTTACGATGAAAGTGATTTTGAAAAGGTCTACAGCATTTGTGTAAAAGAAATATTTAAAAAATAATAATATAATCCTATTGACTATTAGGAATTCTTTTTGGATTTTTTAGTAGAATTTCCAGTTGTCTCCAAGGGTGCAGACCAGTAAATTGACCAGTAAATTGCCTACGTTGGCCAAATCACGATTTGCATGCCCTCAAATTATTCGGTATTAGACTATTTTGAAGGCCGTGAATTTGAGGATTTGTAAAAAAAAAAAAGAAAAAAGATGGAAGCCATGCAGAGGACTGCAAGCTTGTATTAGTGTGAAATGTGGATGAAGTTAGGCCCTAAAATGGCGCTATTTCGCAATGGAGCATAGGCGGTCGTTTTCAAATTGTCGATGATCACCCCTAACTCAATACGAGTTTTCAAATTGGCGATGGGCTTCAGGCCTGCTTTTAGGGGTGACCATCTATGGATGGAATTTTTTCCCAAAAGTCATTAGATAAGCTCCCAAAAATGGAATGGAAAATGAAAGATGATCAAATAAGCTTTAGGTTGATGGGTGTCTCAAACACCTTGGAGAGTTGTGATATTTAATATTTTTGGGAAGTGCGCATAATTTATTTGATCACTGAGGTCTATGGCAATATATTTACTGGTCGGTAACCCTAAAGACTAAACTCCATTGTCTGTTGACAATTTGTACATTTAGGACTGTTGGTGCAATTTTTTTTTGTGTTTTACAAAAACACGTAAATGTCATTATTTCATCAACTGACCAGATGACTTAACATTGTGACCAAATTTGTCATGTTTATTGTACAGTATTATTTAATGTCACAAACTGCCTGACATTTAATAAATGTAATCTGCTAGTACATGTAATTCTGTTGGTAGCTGTACTAGCACGGATATAGATTTGCAATTTTAAGTTATGCTTTGAATCGTATTTCTTTTATTATATAAGCCATCTATTATTTAAGTAAATAGTTAATGTTGCAGCTGTATACAATAAAATTTAATTCTGGATTCCCTTGCCTGGATTAGTGATAAAATACTTTGGAAAGCACTATTTGTGTATTGTAACATGTAGGTATTACGTAATGATTATTATTTAACTGTAATTATTATTTAACTGGTTATTGAAAATCATGACAGAAAGTTTGTATTGAATATATTACAAATAATACTATCATTATTACCATAATATTCAAATTTAACATTTTTGTATTTTTAGATGCAAGAAGCTACAACTTTATTGAAACCTGTTTTGTTTGTCTTAGTTTCTTTGGGGCAGCTATACATGAAAGCAACCTGCTCCACCTTCTCTGCATACACACAACCAGTGTTTGCGTTCAAAATTCCGTAACTTGAAAAGTACATCATTGATTTGAGTTATTCTTGTACTAAAAGAAAGCTCATTAATAGGTCTTTCATATCCTAGATTTCGAAAGTGCTGCCAGCAAAACTTCACTCAAAAATTGGTCCTGCCATTTGGGTTTCGGGTTTTTTATTCACCCTGTAGATTTTTTTTTTTTGGTTGACTTGACAGGTGTGCGCTAGTTATACCAGGATTTTTTTTTTTGTAAAGTTTTACACCAGTTACCTATAAACAGTATATTTTTCATTCAAAATATACATGTATTTACAATTGTGTAAGTAAATGTGATTTTTTGCAGTCTTCGACAGCATTACTTCAAATGATTTTGTTGTACATATACATTTGCTTGAAAAGGACAGATAAATTATATGGTATTCGCAACTTGCCACAACGAAAACAAATGAAGTGCATGACATGTACAGGTTTTGGTTAAATATGTTTATGATTTCTACACGTAGGATTTGCGCACAAAAAAAGTATTCTCAAGTTTAACAAAAGATTAAACTCTAGTTTTTGTCATTACTGAAAAGTATGATGGCAAAATATTGTAAGCCTCATTTGTTTTAAATATTATTCCCACCCACCTTTAAAGCAAGGCAATGCTTCATTTGGAACAGCATTTTAAGAGTAATTTTATAAAAAAAATGTTTTGTTGAAGTATTAAGTAACAGCACTTCATCATGACTCAGTATGTATGTTATGTCTTTACTCTCTTGCAAGTATGCAACAAAAATTACTTTTGGCAGTTATGGGTTGAAGGTATTTCAGTTTCTTTCCATTTTCGTTTGGCACCTGTTAGTATTCTCTCTTGATTAATACAATTTCTTTCAACATTCAGCTGGATATACAAATACTTAAGTGTAAACAAAAAGTAACCAGACATGGTGCAATTAATTGCAGCTGTGATGAATTTCAATACAGTTCTTTTTATTATTATTATTCAGAGGGGTGTGATTTTAAAGCACATCTAATTTGTTGAACATCTATGAAACATATATTCAGAAAACAGTTTTAAATTATGTTGACAATATTTGATAACTTTTAACATTCCAGATACATGTATTATTAAAATAGACTGGTTAAAGATTATAATATGTACATGTAAATGTCACAAAATAATTTTTTTTATTTTATTTGTTGATTTTTGTTAAATATATTGGGGGGGGGGGGGGTCTGCAACCTAGAAAAAACCCTAGCTTCTACATGTTTATTGGGTTACTGTTGCTTACAAGCACAGATCCATCCTGTGTGTGGGGGTGTGTGTGTGTGTCATCACCGATGACGCATTCATTTCGGTTAAGGGGAATGATGTTTACCAAGAATATTCCACTGTCTCCTCATCTGACAGACAAGTGGCCTATATAGGCGTCTTGTTTTACCTGTGTGCACCAACTATAATTGCTTTCGAATGCGAAATTGAATAGTTAAATGGTATTTAGGCCTAAGCACATTTAATAATGGGTTTTCTAGTTTTGTTAAAAAGTGAAACCGCATTGTGTAAATAATAGTAAAATGTGTATAGTACACCAAAAGAAAGTTCAATAGTTCATTTCGCTTTTTCCCCAGGTACTGTTTGTATCAGGTGTGCACAATTGAAGGTGTACATGTTTCAACATAGCATTCAGGCCATTAAACGAACTGAAACGATCTTTTCTGTATTATCTTGAGTCGCTATCGACTTTGATGGATTTTGGGGCAGCAGGAAACATGCAATCTTGGAACCACCACTTATTAATCTGCAGTTCTGAGTTCTGAAATGTCTGGTTCCATGGTCTTATAATCGAAAAGTTGCTAAATGTATAATTACCAATCATAGATACAAGACTATCGTCAAGTATATTATTTTTAGTGCCGTCCAAGAGCTTTAAAAAAATCTGTTTGGGTGAATTATGAAACTCAAAGCCTGCACCTCCTGTTAGTAGAAGGACAAATTGAGGAAGTGTGAAATGTCCTCCCGACACGAAATTCGTTAGACAACTCAAAACATAATGTATCACTCTTAACCTTTACATTTTTCTTCGATCGTCAAGCACATAGTCCTCTATAGATGTCACTGTAACGAACAGTCTTCTCACATTAAGAACTTTATTACTCCCTTCAAAATTACCAAGAGTAACAGAATTCAACAGTCAAAGCCCATGCTGTCAAAACATTCCGCTGGCTTGTATTGCTTCTCAGTGTCAGCTAACCCACTTTTTGAATGAGATTAAAAGGCGTTCCTGTTAGTTTTGCCTGTTTTAAACCCTCAAGCACAATTATCCGCGAGTCTTAGGCAGCTGTGCATGAAAGAGCACCGCTCCTTTTATAAACAAGTGTCAAATCTTTAACACACCAACTGAATTCCTTATTGCACTGAAATTAAAATTCTTGACAGCTAGCAGCTGAGACCTCAATGAAATCAATAGCTGTCTAAGATTTAATATAAAGCACCAGGGACAGCAAAACACATCGCTCCCCAAAGAAAACAAAATGTCCATCAATTTGTCAATTATTCTTGTCAAATTATGATGAGTATTCATCGAGAGGCTGCCTGCATCTGTCTCACACTCGTCCAAGCATTTGGAACGGTGAGTCTGGTTGATATAACCTTAATGCTTCATTTCTATATATGATTCTTTGGCGTGATATACTGCTACAGCTCCTAGTTGATATTGTCAATTTGATCATCATCTGTACAGTTGTGAGTAAAACTATACAATATTCATGATCTTATGATCTACATGGTACTGAGTCAACAAATCCCTGGGTCGAGAAGTTGCTCAATCCATCTTACCTAGAGACTAATCATCAACATCAAGGCTCAAGATTTGACTACAAGACTATCTTCAAGCATGCATCTTACAAGTGGAATGAGCCTTCTTCTGGGACACTTGTTTGTTCTGATGGGCATGCTAGGCACTGCAGCCATCCCAAGGTCCTGTCCATCAGGCTGGATGCATTACAGTCGCTCATGCTACAAAGTATTCAACCAGAACAAACTCTCTTGGATTCAAGCCTTCACGATTTGTCAGAAACTCGGCGCTCAGCTGTTTGTGCCAGACTCTCTGGATGAAAAACAGTTCATTGGACAGCAGGCGAAAGCAAAATTGCCTTCTGATATCAAACATGGAGGGAAAATTTGGCTTGGTTGTACAGACATAAACGAAGATGAGGATGCTTGCTACATTGGTGATGACCAGCAACGTAAAATACTGGACCCAGCAGGCAATCACAAATGCCTTACTATGAGTGCTCATTCCTTGAAGTTTTTTGAGTTTGACTGTTCCGACACAAAATGGGCCATGTGTGAGCGTCAACAAGAGAAGAGCCAAAAAGCTGTCCACTGCTTTGCTACCACTGACCCAGATGATGACAAGGCCCCACCCTACTGTCTGCTTGATCACGCCTACATGGAAATCCCAATCCTGCACCCGATGCAGTGCTGCATTGCCTGCTACAAGGATCCTGACTGCCACTCCTTCAACCTGTCAGGGAAGATGTGCCAACTCAACAATGTCACAATCTCCCAGGTTGGTGATCAATTTCTGACCGTGAACCAGGACTGTGCCTACTATGAGCTTGAGTGACATACCCTGCCACATACCCCAGCAAAATGTTCAGTACCGAAATGGAAAAGGGCGCATGCAATCACATATGTTGGAATAATCTTGAATGACATTTTGTAGTCAGTGGTTGGAATAATCCTACACATTTTTTTGTCGATGGTTTTGTGCACAGTCTTATATTTCTATTTGAAAATAGTGAAACTTTGAGGATCGAGTAAAAAAACAAACCCAGACAAATTGGAGAACTTTGTGCAGAATTGACTGCCTACTTTTCTTCAGTAGATCCAATTTGTGCAACCTTAACCCCAGAGCAGCTTGCCATGCTGAGGAGAAAAACTATATGGGCTCCGTGCGCCAACAAGGAGGGCGCCCTTTTACCTAGCAACGACGTCCCATGGGTTGGTAGCTGGTTGACGCGCACCGTTCCTTGTGTGTGACGCACGCACACCAGGGGATTTGTTACGTGCACGCATGAGTGGTACGGCCGCGCGCGTCGGCGCGGCAAAATTGCAGTCAGGCAAGATGGCGTCGGTCGGTCACCCATGCCCCCAACTGTACTTTCTTTGCCGGTGAAGAGGTACTTGTGAACGGAGCGGACAGAAGTCGTATGAATGATTTTGAAAACCCCCAAATTATTTTAGACGTAGACTGATTGTTGATATTCCAGCAGCATCTGCAGTCTTTGCGTTTGAAACCGACTAGTTAACTCTGACGACAATTTGCGATGACAACATCATTCAAGAACCGTCAATCACTGTAAGTCAATTTTAAGTTTATGTATTATTCAGCATGTAAGACAATTTCTAATAATCTTGCTGTTAAATCATTGTAAATTATCACATAATGCCATTTAAAATGATAGAGGTAGTTAGTATTACAAGTGCATTCATTGACTAACACGTTTTGGCT